TTAATTTTACTTAAAAAAAAGTATATTGTAAAATGTTTTTATTATAGTTTTAATTAAATAAGCAAGAGATTGCTGTAAATGAAATAAAGATTTTGTTTTTTTTTCTATTCAAGGTAGCTAAAGGTAAAAAGAGTAAATCAGAATTTTATTACTTATCCTTTTTGCTAATTTCTTTTGATAGAAATATATTTAAATTTAAAAGATAAATTAAAAAAATCTACGTATAATATGTAATCCTAGAATATATAACTCTCATACATATATCTCAAAATGCTCTCTGTTGACAAAATAATGATAGTGTTTTGTTTTTAATACAAACCTAAGATATTTTGAAAAATTCGGCTGGTCAGATTTTCTTTAAGTTGGCGCACTGTATCACGAATTTGTTCGGCATAGGCGCATATCGCTAATAATGGCATAAGCTTAATTAAACTTACAGTGATGTTACTTCCCAAATTTAAATTGGAATACTAAAAAATAATATTTTTGTGATAATATTATATATTTAAGTCATTATTAATAAGATCTGTAGTTTTGTTTCTCACTCACGTCTTCAAATATTATAGTTTTCATAATTAGATATCCGATGCCCATGATGGTAGCAAACGTGGTCGAGATGAGTGTTAAGCTCTAGTAAAAAATATAATAAAGCTTATTTAGGAAACAAATAATCAATATTTAGTTTAATCAATACTAAAAAAGGTAGAGTCGTGGAGAAGAGGAAAATATTATACCTACTAAAATATGACGTAATACCTGCCATCTAATAGCTGCGTTTAGGTAGTCGAATCCGATTATCATTTCATTATAGAAATCCAACAGCTTTTTGATATCAATGTGTGAAAACTCCTTGATATTTTCTTTCCGAACATTTGGTAATATTTTTTTATCTTTATAAGATGTTTTCGGATATGACAGTTCTAGACACCAATTTAAATGCTGCAACCGCGGAATTACCAATAGAAATAAATGGGCATAATAATGTAATTCCAAACAATGATTTAGCTGTGATATGAAATAAAGAAAAGACTTTAAAGAATTTTCATTAAACCCATTACGCAAGTTGAACGCAAAGATTAAAACAATGTTTGAAAATATTTGAAGGTAGTTATATAAAAAACTACGATTTTTTATTTTCCGTTTTTGGAATCCAGTTTCTTGATCAAATCTATTTAGTACTAGGTAGAAATTGAACAAGTCCTTATGAAATATGTAAGGTGAAATCGTACAGATTATGATTTCAATAAAATTCCAAACCGAGAAAAATCCTGTTATGACTGTCGGATACCTTTGAAATACTAAATAAAACAATATCATGCGAAAAACCATAGGGAGGCCAAATATAAAAAATGTATATAATCGATCTGTAACACCCATAACAGAGACTCGATTAATACCAAATACCCATCCGGCTATAATGAATGATTTGGACATTTTGTCAATTTCAATAGTAGGTTCATTTTTAGGGTTAGTAAAAGTGTTAACACGCGGCCGTGGTGGTGACATAGTGCGGACGTGACGATTTAAATACGAAAACTAATAAAACTAAGGCTGATTTTATATATTTTTTGTTTTATTCATTTCATTTACTTGATAGCTCCCCGATGGAAACTTTATTGTCTAATCCATTATGAGTAGTGTTTTACATGTAACAGTCGTCCGAAATAGTAATAACTAAAAGTAGATAGATGGTTTTTCAAGGTTCAATTACCTAAATATATTTTACTAATGTACGAGTATCATGCATGCATGCTTAAACTAAATAAATCTTCTGGCTATGTTCGTGTAGTGTGTACCAATGATATTTTCGTACATTAGTGATAGTTTTGTCAAAAACAGTTAAGCCCATGCTGTTTTTGATTTAATTTAATTAATAAAAAGATGAATGGTTAAATGTATCGCTAAGCGCAAAATTCTAGAACGGCTGGGAAAATTAGGCTATTTTTTTCAAATATTCGTTGAAGTCCGAGGATGGTTCTTGTGATGAAAAAATTGGAAAAAATTCACGGAAAAACGTAAAAATCACATTTTTCTTTTTCCTTACTATTACTTTATAATTATGAACGCAACCTTAAGATTAATATAAACTACTAGCGGACCCGACAGACGTTGTCCTGTCTACACGTCTTTAATTTGAAAATTTCAAACTTTTTTTAATAATTATTAAAATTATTATTCAAATTGTGAATCTAAACCATTCCCAGATCCCCTTGAACACACACAAAAAATTTCATCAAAATCGGTCCAGTCGTTTGAGAGAAGTTCAGTGACATACACACTCACAGAAGAATTATATATATAAAGATGTACAGGAATGCATATTTATTATTTTGTAAATTTAAAACTTTCGCTTTCTACGATACAGTTTGACTACGACTTCTACGATGAAACAGAGTGGAGATAGTTGGAGGGATGGAAAATGACATACCTATTACCGTGGAAGATTATCTCATTCCCATGGAAAAACACAAAAAATGTCTAGATAGACAATCCATACTAACCGTTAAATGTCAATAGATAACGTTACGTTGATCGATTTGTAATTAAAATTGTGTTAAATTTACAAAAAAAGTAGATCCCAAAAACCCGAGTGCATAAAAACTAACTAAAAAGATGAAATAAGTTCACGAAGGAATAAAGTATAATGCAGTCGGAGATACACGTTTCGTCCTCCGTCGTCCAAGATGTATACACAATTGTATGTATGTCTCCGACAATTAGACATTGGAGACAGTTATATTCAGCAATTTTTTTATCCTAAATTACTTTTAAACATATAAGTTGTATTGTATATATTTTTTTAATCGCGTCTTAAACACCTTTATTTTGATACTCCACTCGTTTGATTTGTAAGAAATTTTATTTTAAAGATACACAAATTGACGTCAGAAATCCATCATTTTAATTTTTCATATCATCATCATTTTAATTTTATCACTCGCTTTATCAAGATGAATCTAACGACGTATGAATCATCGAAGTCGACCTACGTGTTTGGTCTCTAGAACGCCACATAGGAACAAACATACCTACATACATTCATACATACATAGACTGTTAAAGACATTATCCTCTTTTGCGTCGCGCAGTCGGATAAAAATGGGAATTGCACTGAAAAAAGCTGGTCTTAAAGTTCCGAATAGCAAATTACATCTATTAAGATAATTATTATCACTTTCACCATTACTTTTCACTTCTTCATATTCAATAGTTTTCAATCAACTTTGAACTCATACCGATTAACTGTAATGCCCCTCGTTAAGGTATATAAGGTAAAAATAAAATAAGAATGCAAATAATGTATTGTGCGTTAATAAATATAATTATGTTAAATTATTTCCATTTTTATATATTAATGAATATACATGTACTGGATAAATATTATTTTTATTCAAATAATCCAAAAAATAATTATTGTGCTTTCAGCGAATCCAAATCTCTCGAAAATTACTTTTGTGTAATAAAATACATTTCGTGCGGCCCAGATAGATAGCTTTTCTTTCAATTAAGAACGATTTCGCGAAAGATTATCTCTAGGAGAAGTTCGATGCTAAAACAATTGATAAGTGGAAGTATCCAACCGTGCAATTATATAGACATTTTTGTACTGATAACAATGATTTAGTCTATTTAAATATTTTTGACAGGTTCCTTTAAGTAGATGAAGGAAGCTTTTCCTTCTAAGTACCTATATACATATTTCACAACATACATATCAAGTAATAGAATACTACGGAGAAAACACTAATGAAGGGCTTAAAATCTATTGATTAAAATATTGTACATAATTATAGATAAAATAATAACAGCCTTTAATTTATTAACTGACTGTGATTTTTTACATTTTAATGCATGGAAGTCGGTTTTTCAAGTTTTTATTTTTTCATTTTTAGTATACTTAGACGTAATAAGCAGATAATTTGTAAGAAGAAAGTTTTTTAATAACATATTCGATTAAATTAAAAAAAAAATCGTTGATTTTTTAAAAAACTGCTCGACCGACTTCGATAAAATTTATATGGGTCCACCTGGGAAGTATACTATTTAAAACAAAAAAAAATCCAAATCGGTTCAGGCGTCTTCGAGTAATCGATGAACATACATAAAAACAGATTCCGACGAACTGAGGACCTCATCCTTTTTGGAAGTCGGTTAAAACTATTTTATAATACTTAAATATTGTTGCCCCCAAAGTTTACGCACATTGGGAGCATGATCGTCTATACATATAATAAAAGTAGCATTTCCCGCGGCTCCGCCCGCGTTCTGATGGCCGAAAACCAAATTCTTAGGTTTACAGATTAGTAGGTACTCTTACATTGTAGTTTTTGCATTTTTTCTCAGAAATGAGATATTTTCCCGCGGTAAGTGTATCCTATATGTTGACCCGCATAACCAGCTATCATTATACCAAATTTTATCAAAATCCCCCCAGTAGTTTTTCCGTGATGCGGTAACAGACAGACAGGCAGACAGACAGACAGACCGACAGACAGACAGACAAAATTCTAAAACCTATAGATTTGGCCTCTGTATCGATAATAATATCTATTTCAATAAGATTTTCTAAAAAATATTTAATGTACAAATTCGGCTTAGTTACAATCTATACATATAATAAAAATCTAACTGAGTCGAATCTGTACATTAAATAGTTTCAAAATATAAAAATCTTATTGAAATGTCATTATTATCGATACAGAGGCCGAATCTATAGTTTTTAGAATTTTTGTCTGTCTGTCTGCCTGTTACCGCATTACAGAAAAACCACTGGAGGGAATTTGATGAAATTTGGTATCGTGATAGCTGGTTATCCGGGTCAACCTATAGGATACACTTATCGCGGGAAATATCTGATGTCTGATAAATCTATACTAAACGATAAAACGTAAGTAGGGACGAACCCGAGCGGAGCGAGGGTGAGTCGCTAGTTTTATCTAAAATTAAACATTTTTGCGTATATTAGCTAAATTAAAATTACGTAATTACTAACTCGACTAAGGATTAAGCACTTTGTCAAATTGAAGCAATATTATGAGATAGGTGAGCAGCAGGGCGAGGAACTTGAAGGGAAGTGAAATGTCGATGTTGATCATGTGAAAGATAGAAAATGATAAGTCGCGAGTTTCCATTAATGTCAGCAAAGCTCGAGCAGTATTTCTATTTGGTTTGCCTAAAAAAAAGCATCGTAATTAGTATTTCAAAGTAACGAGCAATAACAAAAATTGTAAAAGTTAAACATACTTAAAGTATTTTCATATAGTCTGCTGGCAAGTATGTCCCTGAGATTGCGCACTTCGACGGAGGTTTGGTCAGCAAATATACATGGCACGAATACGGGTATCACTTGAACCAATAAAAACATGATATTCACTGAATAGTGATGTATAGGGTCCTGGAAAAAAGAAAAAAAATATTAGGTGATTATAATGGTCAAAATGAGGGATCTTTTACACTTTAAAGTATTTTCTTATGAGAATCTAAGATCTATTAGTAGTAACTCGCAGTATTCCTACCGACTGCCGAGTCTAATCGATGTAAATAATTTATTTAAAATATATATACACGTAAATCTATCCCAAGGGATCCCGTACTTTTTTATGGGATAAAAAGTAACCTATGTGCTATTGTAGACTATAATCTATCTCTGTGCCAAAAATAAAGGTCCGATCAGCCGTCCTGACGTGCTCGAGTAACAAACATCCATCCATCAAAACTTTCGCATTTATAATATTATTTGTATAATTACCTACAATATCTTTAAATTTTCACTTTTAAACTTACTTTTATTCATTTATCTACAATTAATGAAATTAAAGTATGTGCAATTATGTTCGTATTCACTCACCTGTCCATTTATCATATTATGTATAATGTAATAAGAGTATATCAAAGCGGTGCTGAACGTAAATGTAAGTATAATCAATAACTGAAAATACGATTTGGTTAAAAATTACCTATTTAATTTTAATGGATTTTTATAATAATTATCAAAAAATTATAGCAGTTATAGTAAAAATGGTATGCTAACATACTTGCCACTTAATTGCACTATTTAGGCAGTCTTGAGTGATTATTATTTTACTATACACATCAGTTAACTTTTGTAAACTTATTAGTGAATTATTATTTTGTTGCTTTTTAAAAATATCCAAGTCTAGTGAAGTGTTGACACTAAAAGTATTATTTCTAAAGCTTTTAGGACATGCTAATTTTAAATGCTTCGTATATAATCTTATTCTTGGTACTATAAGATAAAACAGATATCCATAATAACTTAACTCCAAAACATGAAATATTATAATAACAATTGGATATATATAAACAATATTTGCTGAAAAAGCCATAGTAACTTTATAAAAGAATAAAAAACAAATTATTATTGTTATAGTCATTTGTAACAAAATAACCACTACACTTTTATTCATTATAGTTTTAACTTTGTATCTGATTTCACTGTCAAGTTTATTGAGCTCAATATAAAATTTAAGTAGCCGTTTATGCAAGAAAACTCCTAAAGTAGTACAAAGAAAGTAGCGGCACGAATCAATCAGTTTGAGGAAATATATTGCATTTATTCTGTGATCATGAGCGGTTAAATAAATAAAGAATATATTTAAACTTATGTAATAACATCTAGTCAATATTATAACATTTCTATTAACAATGTTAATCATTGAGATTCGAAATACACCAAAAATACATTCGGAAAATATAAAAATTTTTGATATAAAATCAATTTTCAACTTAATATTTTCAATATATTTTTTTCCGTGCACAAAGTTATTGATTTGACGCTGTGGCGACATTTTCGGCAAAGACTGTGCAAGTAAGTACAAGTTTATTTTCCCTTCCCATAGTGTGTAATTTATTATTTCAATGGTCATTTGTTTAATAGTATTTTAATCGTAGCTTGGATATATTCATTAGCATCATACTCGTATTTTTGATATTAGATTTTGATATAGAGTGTTCCAAAACTAACGCAAGATGTAATATATTGAAAAATAAAAACCAACAGGTTTTTAGTTTTTAATTATAGTGCAATTTTTTACTGAAATGTTTTTATCTGGGCTTTGCGGTTTAGCTTGCATGTTACATATAAGTATACACAAAACACACTGTTGTCTAAATGTAGCTGAATTTAATTGGTACTGCACTCAATTCTAATAAATGCTAAAAAAAGTACATGCCAAAATGTATAATTTTGACGTCCAGTTTAATGATCAAAAATTGGAAATTAAGATTGTCATGGGACGATACCGAGATTGGTACTTATAATCGGGATATGATAATTTGGATCAAAACTTGTTTAATAAGCACAATATTTTAAATTCAGTTTCCTTCCTAATCACAGTACGACTACTGCCTTAGTCAAAATCATAGATAACATTAGGGAAGGTATGGACGACCAAATACTTATTGTGTTAGCACTACTAGTTTTTAGTAATGCCATACATTGTGGCATGTACTTTTATTAGCATTTATTAAAATCGTAGCTATGCATCAATAGCCAGTGAGCACTCAGGCTTTATAGAAGCGAATTGAGTGCAGTACCAATTAAATTCAGTTACATTTAGACAAAAGTGTGTACTGTGTACATGTACTCGTATATGTAACTTACAAGCTAAATCGCATAGCCCAAATACGAGTATAAAACATTTCAGTAAAAAATTGCAATATAATTAAAAACCTGTTGTTTTTTGAATATATTATAATCTTTCGTTAGTTTTGGAACACTCTATATCCAAATCTAATATCAAAAATATGGTGCTATCATAGCATCATATATATCCAACCTACGATTAAAATACTATTCAACAAATGACCATTGAAATAATAAATTACACACTATGAGAAGGGAAAATAAACTTGTACTTACTTGCACGGTCTTTACTAAAAATGTCGCCACAGCGTCAAATCAATAACTTTATGCATGGACAAAATATAAATATTGAAAATATTAAGTTAAAAATTGATTTAATTTCAAAAAAAAATGTATTTTCCGAATGTATTTTTGGTATATTTTGAATCTCAATGACTAACATTGTTAATAGAAATGTTATAATGTTGACTAGATTGTATTATATAAGTTTGAATATATTCTTTATTTATTTAAACGCTCATGATCACATGATAAATACAGTATATTTCCTTAAACTGATTGATTTATGCCGCTACTTTCTTTGTACTACTTTAGGAGTTTTCTTGCATAAACGGCTACTTAAATTTTATATTGAGCTCAATACACTTGACAGTGAAATCAGATTTAAAGTTAAAACTACAATGAATAAAAGTATAGTGGTTATTTTGTTACAAATGATTACAACAATAATAATCTATGTTTTATTCTTTTATAAAGTTACTATAACTTTTTCAGCAAATATTATTTATATATATCCAGTTTTTATTATAATATTTCATGTTTTGGAGTTAAATTACTATGGATATGAAATGAATGATATGAAATTTTATATTAAGGTGTCGGGTATATCCATTTACCATTTACTATTTTAATACTACGTTGTCGCGTACGCCGTATTACTTTACAATGATTATTTGTTAATTGGTGCTTACGCCAATATTAATGACTTTGTAGTACTCAAGTACCTATTAAGCGAGTCGCTTATTCCAAAATCAGACCTAAGGCGGAGGTACCACTCAAATAAGCCATGGGTATTCTAAACCTTAGCTATGTTATCAATAAGCGTAGTTACAATAAGCTTAATAACCTACATTATCATAGCCTACGAGTACCTACTACCTACGTCCTCCCCTAAATACTTTCGTCTGCAACCTTCCCAATCTCTGGAGCCTAGCTTGCTTATTTACATACTCGTAATATATCTACAAAGAATAGTATTCGAAGAAACTCGCCTTTATAGCCTACCTTCACGTATCTACATACTTACCAGATATATTAAAATTATTTTATTATATTATTAGATTATATACTTACTAACCTTTTTTAATGCTGGGAAATGCATTTACGAATACCACTTTAATACATACATGCAGTTATGTGGGACTCACCGGCTATAAACGTCTCAATGGGGCGTCACAGGATCGAATTTTAAAGGAGAATCATGTTGGTTGTGATTCTATTTTTTTTAAGACGTGACGTTTAATCCACGTTACCATTTGCCCAGATAATGCCGTAAGTTGGATGTTCTCGTTTTCCTCTTGGTATAGAAATCTTGATGTGTGGAAGTACCACGTTACCTTGTTCTTCAATTCACTTACAGTATAACTAATGTCTAATATCCTCACAATGTTTTTGCTAGGCACTGTATCTTATGTTTCATTACGTTCTGGCATAATTATGTGAATCGTCACTTGTCCTTCTTTACCCATTTAAGTTATTCTACTGTCATGTGACTTATGCTCTATTACCTCTTGGTATCAGGATACCAAATGTAGCTAAGGCGTCTATACTCTTCGCTTTTTTATGTGCACATGTAACTTACGCCGAATTACCTCATAAGAAAAATAAGATCAATTGGTATAAGCGGCAAAAATCAACATAAAACAACGTCGAATCATATATTGCCTTTATTTCTCTTGATTCTAGAACTGTTTCCTTTTTTACGATATGACAATAAATAAAAAAGTTATGTCCATTTTTCTGCAATTTCAAACTTTAAACAGCTCTCCTGAACAATTTCGTTTTTGTTGCTTATACCTTATTACCTTTTAACCGTCGATATCGAGTGTATTATGTTTATACAAGTTTCAGTTAGCAGTTTTGTCTACGTTTGTTATTGTTTTCTCTGTAGTCCACTCTATAATATCATATTCCCATCTTTGTTGAGTTTTTCCTGCCTTTACCTACCTTTGGAACAACTTAACCGTCTGATTTTTTTTAATATTTATATAATTTATTTTTTACCCCCGATCCATAAACAAAGGGCTGTTATAAGTTTGACGTGTCTGTGTGTGTGTCTGTCTTTGGCATCGTAGCTCCTGAACGGATGAACCGCATTTGATTTCGTTTTTTTTTTGTTGAAAGGTGAATTAGTCTGGAGTATTCTTAGCTATGTTTGATGAAAATCGGTTCAAGATGGCCGGGGGATTTAAAATTTTTAGTTTATCATTTTAATCACCAATTTTCTTTAAAAGTGCTTTTCCAAGTTGTATTAATTTAATATTTCCCTCCACCTGGCAAACTGCTTGCATTATTCCCATTCCAAAGACGAAAAATCCCTCTTGCTTCTCCCTCCCACTTCCATCCTATTGCAATTCTCTCATTTTTATCAAACGTTTTAGAACAAATTGTCTTTAACCAACTCAGTTGCTAATTTTAGACTAGCATAATATACATTCTCCGTAGTCCGTACCAATCTGGTTTTCGAAAAGGTCATAGCACTGTGATAGCCTTACTCAAGGTATACAATTTAATATGAACGACAAACTAATCAGCTTTATAGCCCTGCTTGACATCTGTGATGCCTTCAACACAGTTGATTTTTACTCCTGTTAGCTGTTTTTGAATCCATTAATGTATCAAGCGACGCCATTAGGTGATTTAGCAGTTATTTATACGTTCATCAGCAGTGTGTCCATGTTAATAAAATAAATCCTCCTCTTACTTTCCTCTTTCTGCTGGGGTTCTACAAGGTAGTGTCATTTCTCCTCTTTTGTTGTCAATAATTATTTTTGATAATGTACGTATTAACATTTTGAATAGATTTCTCCTAAAAGTAAAAGTGAAGTAAAAGTACCTATATATTGATCCGGATAACCAGCTATCATCATACTAAATTTCGTCAAAATCTCTCCAGTGGTTTTTCCGTGATGCGATCACAGACAGACAGATATATCATACATACAGACAGACAGACAGAAAGACAAAAATTAAAAAAA